GTTGATGTACAATGTAATACTTTATCCATTTTAGTATTTTTTTTGTTCTAGTACCATTGGTTGAACTCTGCAATTAACACACAATTATTTTTAGGTGTTTAAATTTTAACTGAAAAGTGATCCCTGTTACGAATTTGGAAAACATTATGCTGAGCGAAATAAGCCAATCCCAAAGGGACAAATACCATATGTTCTCCCTGATCGGTGACAACTAACTGAACACCAAAAAGGAAACCTGTTAAAGTGAAATGAACACTATGAGAAACGGTGACTTGATCAGCCCTCACCCTGACTGTTGATGAACAACCTGATATGTTATCCCTCTTAGTATTTATTTTGTTTGTTCTACTTAATACTTCTGGATGAATACTGTAATCAATACACAATTCTTCTTAAGTGCTGAAACTTAACTGAAAAGTGATCACTGTTAAATATAAGAGTGGGAATAAGAGAGGGAAGAGATGTGCAATTCGGGACATGCTCAAGCTGACTTACCTCAAACGGTAGAGTTAGAAACATACCAGGGGATTCCAATTAATCCCATCAAGGTGGCATGTACCAATGCCATCTCACTAGTCCCAGTGATCAATTTCTGTTCACAATTGATCATAATGATAGGACTAAGAACCAAAGGGATCACATAAACAAGACTAGTGTCTGCAAATACTAGCTGATAGAATAAAAAAGGGAGAGAATGATCCAACATGGGAAGTGAGAAACACAGCAGACCCATAGAATGGCAGATGCCCTAAACAGCACTCTGGCCTCAGAATCAGCCCTTAAGGCATGCGGATCTGGCTGAAGAGCCCATGAGAGTATTTCAGGCATGGAGAGTCAAGACACTCTGGGGAAAAAAAAAAAAACCTAAATGAAAGATCTCCGTGAGTGAGATCCCAGTGGAAAGAACGGGTCATCAAAGAAGGAGGTACCTTTCTCTGAAGGGAGGAGAGAACTTCCACTTTGACCATGGCCTTGTCTAAAAATGATCAGAGTCAGTGAACTCAGGGGGCTTCCATAGCCTTGGCAGCTCATGACAAGAGCCTAGGGTGATTACTGATGCCATAAACAAAGTGTCAATTTGTTAAGTCAACAACAGGAATCACTGTGCACTTACTCCTCATGTAGGATCTTTGTCCTTAGTGTGCTGTACATTGAGATTTAATGCTATAACTAGTATTCAAACAGTATTTTTCACTTTATGTTTCTGTGTGGGAGCAAACTGTTGAAATCTTTACTTAATGTATGCTAAACTGATCTTCTGTATATAAAGAGAAACGAAAATGAATCTTGATGTGAATGGAAGGGGAGAGGGAGTGGGAAAGGGGAGGGTTTTGTGTGGGAGGGACGTTATGGGGGGCAAGCCATTGTAATCCATAAGCTATACTTTGGAAATTTATATTCATTAAATAAACGTTTAGAAAAAAAATCATTATTATGTTAATAATCATCCAAGTCATATAAGAACCTGATTGATACAGAGACAAAAATGTGTTCTACGTTGAAGTACATGTCAAGGCCTGGAGATGCCAATGTTACAGAGTAATTGGAGAATTGCAAGCAATGTGTTGCTAGTGTTGTGGACTAGGTTGGGCCTAAATTTCTATTTTAGACTCTTACCTTTTACTTCGAGAAGAATTCTAAGTACAGGCAGAAACACTATGACCAGCATGATAAAAGATTTACTCTCCTTACAAAGTGAGGGGAATTCACAGGCACATGAAGGCTCTATTAGTGAGAGTGGGCCAGAAAAAGTAAAGAGGGACTTTCATACCCTTCTTGCCCTGGGTCCATGAGGAGAGAGAGAGAGAGAGAGAGAGAGAGAGAGAGAGAAATACTCCCTCCCCTTTACCAGGTTATGAGCTTAGAAAAGCAGAGTGTTTAGTGGTCTCATTGTACTGCCCCCAGGTCCCCAGGGGAGGTACATCCTGGGAAAGGGGTCATCTGATTTACAGGTAGGCATACTTGATAACATGGAGCAGGGTAGGTGTGGCTTCCAGTTCATAAACTTAATCAATCTCCCTGACTTGTCCCATATAACTAGAATGGAATGTAACTTTAAAAATGTTGTGAGAAATTAATGGTCTCATAGATAAAACCTTTGGTCATAATTAGCTTAGAAAGTTTGCAAACCTTTAGATTGGGGGAATATTTGAAGGTTTTTTTTTTTCAAAGTTTTTTTTTTTTTAGAGCTTTATTTTTATTTATTTGAAAGAGAGAGAGAGAGAGAGAGAGAGAGAGAGAGAACTTCCATTCATTGGTTCATTCCCCAGATGGCTGCAGCTGTGCCAGGTAGAAGCCAGGAGTCCAGAACTTCCTCTTGGTCTCCTACATGGATGTAGGGGCCCAAACACTTGGGCCATCCTTTGCTGCCATCCCAGGGACATTAGCAGAGAGCTGGATTGGAAGTGGAGCAGCCAGGTTTCCAACTGGTGCTCATATGAGATGCAGGCATTGGAGGCAGCAGTTTAAACTGCGATACCACAACGCCAGCCCCATTTGAAAGTTTTTAAGGTAAGGAGTGGTATAATGTCATCTACAAGATATAAAGCCAGTTCCATCATTAGTGTGGAGAGTGATTTGCAGAGAAGCAGAAGCTGCAGTTCAGAGGCTATGACAATAAGAGAAATGATTAGAGCCTGTAATAGAATAGTCATGATAAGTGTGGTGTAAGGTCTAGAATTAAGTCTCAGTATTATGTGCTTCTTTGACAAGTAGTAGTCAGGAGGATGTTGTATGGTTTAACCACAAGTTCCTTTCCTGACTCTGCTGCTGTGAATAAGGTTTCCTGGATGAAAACCATCCTGATCAAACAGACCAAGAACAGTTTACATCTGCTCTTGAGTACTAGGTTTTAGTTCCTTGCTAACTAGTTTAAATATTCACATAAATCATGAGAACTGAAGTCACCTCATGCTTGTGGAACTATTACAAGCCTGCCTTTTATAGCCCCTGTTCACTCTGTCCTCAAGTTTGATCCCTTTGTGGGTCTGCATGGCATGCGATGCCACCTACTCTGATTCATGAGTGTATGTCACCAATATATTGCCATTGAAGTCATGGTCTCAGGGTTGGGTGTAGTGTATTCAACCATCTCCCATAATCCTCGGGCAGGAATCTGTTTCTCACCAGTGGGGTGAATAGGAGAAAATCAAAACAAGTTAGAATAGATGTAGAGTATAGAAGTTAGAGTTGGGTGGTCTCTAGTTCCATGAGGCCATTGAACATTTCAAGTGTATCAGGTCCAATTTCTTAGGTGCTATAATGATGAAATATAAAGTAAATTTCAAAGATGCAGCATGAAAAAGAGCATTAAGTATCTCAATAATAATTTTAAACTGATTCCATGTTGTATATTTTGATATTTTAAATAAAATATTAAAATTAATTTCATCTTGTATGATTTTCTAGTGTGGCTTCCATTTGTAACTTGCTTTATATTTCTATTGTGCACCTATAGGTAAGTAAAAGAGTCAGGGAAATAATAGGGTAACTTGGGCTTATGGAACACAAATAGTCCTATGAGAAATAAAAGCTTAGTCTGGTTGATTGTAGGCAATAAAAGAAAAAAAAAGTAGAAGAGGAGCAGAAACTACTTTGAAAGGAAGAGAGTGCAATTTTGAGTGCACTGAACCAAGGTGTCAGGCAGATATTTAGACAGAGATTAACAGATTTTGGAGTCATTACTTCCGGCATCTAAAGACATGAATGAAATTTCAGAGTGGAAAGTAGAACAAAGTGAGAATGTTGATGATAGATATTAAGGTTGGGCAAACTATTAACTAAATTTATACCATTTAACATGCTTCAGTAATGTTTGATGAACTTTTATCTGCTATATTCTAGTCTTTGGTGATTTATGAATTTCAACATATGAAAAACAGCAAAAATTGTTTGAATGCAAGCTAATTATTTGTACAGGCTTTTTTCAGGTCTGAAATCTTGTGCATTTGTAATAAAATGCAAAAATAATGTTTATTATTAATGAATATATGGGAAATATATTTAAATATAATAAAGTGTTTTAATTTGTGTTACTATCTTATTAGAAGAAGCTGAGGTTGCAGATAAAGAAGGGCAGAATTCAAATTTTCTTGTTATATTTAAGTACATATATTGATAATGCAGATTCTTTTATTAAATGTGCCATATGTATTCCTTCATACATATACATTTGGCCTCCATATATTTACCTTTATTAAAAATATTTTTTGATTGAGGAATCTGTAGCTCTAGATATTATGTTTTTTTTATAGAATCTCTGTTCATTTATGACGGAATCCAGGAGAAATATTTAAAATGTAGGTACACCGTAGATATCCTACTTTAAGTACAGCAGGTACAAGGCAGATATTCTACTACTATAGAACATAAACAGTATTCTATAATTTAGGTTGTAGACATGCATGAAGTATGCAGTATGTAGAATGAATTGACAATGCAGTAGAAGGGAGGGAAGGGATAAAGAGACTTCAGTAGAATGAATTGAATGGAACTACCCTGCTATAAATGTCAATCAGTAGAAAACATCAGGGAGCAGTGCAAAATTTACCTGTCAATAGTGATGAGGAGTATGGTTTACCATTTTAAACAAATATCTTTCAATATTTAAGATAACTTATGTTTCATTTTAAGGGAGTATAACAAATTCTTGTTTAATAAGAATAGAGAGTGGTTTGAATACTGTATCTTATTTTTGTAACTAACGTGTTTCAGCACCACTACATCAGATATTGTACTAAGTTATTGAAATACATTCTAATTTGATGTCTATAATAGCCCAATGAGTAATTAGTTTATTGTCTCTATTTTACAGAAAAGAAAATTGTGGCTCATGGAGGTTCTGTAAATTGCCTAAGATCACAAGCTAGTGAGAGGCAGAACTGGGATAGTCTGAATATCCAAAGTCCATTCTCATACCCCCTGATCATACTCACTATATTGTAGAATTCAGGGAATCTGTATACAGTGAACATTATTGATTAAAACCAGGAATTTTAGAGGAGAAACGTTGCTCTAGTGGTCATACCTGCAGTAGTATTTATTCTGAAGAAGTGAATACCAATGGTATGTATTACACATTCTACATAAGATATTTTTAACAGTTTCCATTTCAGTAAATACAAAATTATCTCTTGGCTTCCCCCACCCATCTAACTGTCTGTTAAAAAGCAAGTTGAAGTTTCTCAAACACCACATAAACGCTTGTACATTTACTTATATATACAAATAATTAGAAAAATATATCCATAGTTATGCTGAATTCCTCTAAACAAGAAAACTTCTACTTGCAAGAATACTAAAGTTCTTGCTTTTTAAAATCATTAGACAGAATTTTTTTGAGAGACTTCCATCAAGCAAGTGATTATCAGATAGTGACAAGAAATAGAATTTTAAAATATTATTGTGACAAAATTTTCATATTTTCTATAATTACAAATAAATCCAATACTTATAATCAATCAATTTATTTTACATTAAAACAGTGAAAGGAGGAACAAAAGCTACACCAGACAAATATAAATTCATTTGTTAAAATTCAGAAAAACAAAATCTCTTAGAGAAATAAATGACTATCTTTTAAAGGAAACAATACAGTGATGGAGTATACATTTTTCTCATTGACTCTCTTCCTTATTGCTTATTTAATTCTCTTTGGACTTTTGTTAAATATAACAACATTTGATTTTGGATGACTTTTTGTAATATAATTTTTAGAGACTAGTATTTGACAAGCAAACATGATATTTTGGTGAAGACTTACAAGAAAATATTGTTTCTGCCTTTATTAGTATGAAGTAATCAAAAATTTCTTTCATAAGTTGAATAACTAGAGTAAAGAATAGAAAAAAAAAGAAGAGAAACAGCTTGAAATGCTTCAATGTCTTAGGAAGTTGTTTAAAAGTAAAGAAAGTAAAGTATGTCCCTTAAGACCATGAGAGTATTTATTTAAAATTTTAAAGGATCACACATATTAAAATTGGAGTCAACAATTCTGAGGTGGGTAAAATATGAGAAAATCAAGACATTCTTTAACCTGAAATTTTTCCTGATTTATTATAGTACAATCTCATAGCTCAGAGTCCCTTTAAGTGATTTATTAAGATGAAGATGAACTACAAAATTAAAGAAAAAATGGTTTGTTGTCTTCATTGTTAAACTTGTAAGAAAAAATGTATGCATTGATTGAAACAAGCAATTACTCGAGTTTGGAGAAATTTTCCTCACAGATGTTTATAGGTACATCAATGATACTATATACATAGTTTAGAGAAAAATGAGGAAATGCAGAAAATAAGGCATATTTTAAGAATTCTGATGACAAGTTGGGCAACCTTGAATTACATGAATTTTACTTGATGTGAAAAATATCTGCCTTCCAGTCTATAAACATATTTTTCATCCCACTTGGGCAAAAATGTTAATCTTTATTTCAAGAAAATCATTAAATTTCAAACTGGAGGAAACTAGTAAACAAATCAACCAAAACTCAGAACTCTAAATACACAATCGCAATGATTTATGTACGATGAAAGGCATCTGAGAAGCACAAGCTCACCTGGATAACAAGCTTGAGAATTTGAGAATCACAGTTAACAGTGGAACAACAAAAGTAATAGTGATTTACATTCACCCATGCTCAAGAAAAGTCCTTCATCTTTCTGAAAAAGATTAAGAGCTTCTAAGTCTGCTAGGAAAACAAACAAAAATCTTAATGATGTATTAATGCAAAGTTGGGATCTGAGACAAAAGATGTAAAAATCCTGTTTCTCTTTAAGAACACTCAGATTTTAATTGCTTGCTTAAAACAACAAAAACAAAGATCTTCATTTTGCTATTGAATCAATTACTCAAATTATAAGAAAAAGTAGTATTATTTACAGACCATAGAAAAATTTCTCTGGAGGAAATGTGAATTGATGGATAATGTTACCAAAGTCTGTGTGATTTACTGTCCTGTTGAAATTTTACCTTCGTGTATCACTGAAAATATTGACAAAGCCATAATATATCTTCATTGACAAATGGGATAAAATCCAACAAGCATGACAATGACCTCCAAATAAGACAGGACCTACAACTCTATGAGAGGAAGAACATCACTTCTTCTCTAGAAATTAACAATGGGTGGCATGGCTGAGAAATGGGTTTTAAGTTAGAGAAATAATGATATTTGAAGAGGTAAGTTTTAGATTATATTTCTTTGTTTAGATATGCTGTAAAAACATAATCTTCTACAATAGTAGATGTACTGGTATATATGAAAAATCCATGCTTTACAAAGATATATGTATATTACATAGAAGGCACAATGCCTTGGTTTTTTCAATTCATATCTTATCAATAAAGTTTTTTCTATCTTGAATAGTGAAAAAATATATGAATACTGCATCACTCTCAAGGTGAAAATGCCTAGATTGATTGTATGGTGCCACTGTGGATTCACTTATAAATGGCCTGCACCTGACAGTGATCCTGTGCAGTGCCAATTTCCTTAATGACCCCTTCCCCAAACTCCTGGACAGTTTTCATTAAAACCACAATACTAAATTCACTGAGAATGGCATGCCCAGCCACATAAAGTAGCAATATCAGTAGATTTGGGAAATTTCCCTTTTCCCAAGAGGAAACAGGTGAAAAACACATGAGGCTACAATAATTTCTAAAGTCAAAGAAATTCATACAGATGAGTAACAACAGAGGAAAATATATGTGAAGTCAATAAAATAAAAAATACTTATTTAAAAATCAGAGTTTGGGATGATAGCATTCCTTTTCAAAGCAAAGGAACAAATATCTATAAGTTAGCAAGGGGAAAATGTTAGCCCTTAACTCAGATATTGGGTTACTACTACCCTCATTTACAGACACCTCATTCTGGGTTATCAGTCATACATAGAGTTGTTGAAAACTGTGGTTAACAGAGGAACTGAGCTGTGTAATGACCCTTACAATAGAAACTGGATAATGACACAAAATCCCACATTATTTCTGAAAAGCTTACACAGGGATTAATGCTAGTAATTGCCAATCTGTGCATATATAACCATTAGCATTTTAGAAAGAAAGATTGAAGAGAATTCACACAGTGCTCTGTTCCCAGTCACAGGTACATGAAGGGGATAAATGTGGTGGGGTTCAGTCTTTCTACTTAACATTAAAAGTATCTTGAGAGACTCGGTTCTTGTCTCCAGTGCTATCTGACTTTCTGAAGCTCCTGTCTCAGCCAGGAGGGCAGAGGTTGCCCCAATCTGTGTAGTAGTTTGGACAGTTCCACATTATGATCTCGGTAGTAATTAGAGAGGAAAGTTCTAGACTGGAAAGCAAAAAAGAAAAAGATTTGAAAAAAACTTATTCATCAAACATGATTGTGTAACCTACATTTTTAAGGAATTTTGCTACAACATAGTTAAATACAAAATATTTGTTTATTATATTTTACTGCAAATAGAACTCATTTTTTATCCTTTGTAATGATATGACAAAAACATAGTTTTAAATTAAAAACAGGCCAAGATATATTCTCTAACATTATAGCATCTTTATTGTTGGATTCGTGAAGCCTACACAGAGAAAGATTGACAGCAGGAATATAACACTAGAGAAGAAAAAGCAAGGAGCTTGATGAGGCACCAAATCGACAGAAGTGAGTTCTGCAAAAACACATACATATTCTTTCAAAATTGGTCCATAGGATAAAAATTAAAATCAGCATAAATAATCATAAAACTGAAATTCATGATTATAAAAATAACTTGCAGCACACATGGACATTTTACTTATTCATGTTTATAAATGGGCTACAGGTATAGGAAAAGATTCTCACATCACTAATCAGCCAGGAAATAAAATTAACTTTTCTTAATCATTAAGTGGTTTTTGCTCTGTACTACAATGAGGTCTCTGAAATTTGATTTTTTTTGTAACTCTTACATTATTAGTCAATCTAAAGAGATTGGTCTTTATTCGAGAAATGACTTTAAAACAATATAAAACGTATCAATGGTTTTAATTTTATCTTTTAATGATATAGATTTCTAGAAAACAGAAAACTTATGCTTGAGTTTTCTCTCTGTATGTCTCTTTGTATTACCAACAAGCTAACTCGGTTCTGTATCTCTTTGATAAAATAGTGGAGGTGGACATTTTCCCTTTATAGTTAGAAGTGCCAATAGTACACTCATTGATTTCTCTTCTGACAGAAATTTCATCATCTCTCTTAAGCTTTTACCAATATTTCAACAAAAATGGGTCTTTTTGTTCATAAAACTTCTTTAGCAACTTTTGTGTATACTGTGGAAATGGATTTAAGACAACTACATTCTGTTTTGGACCATTTGCCAGGCGTTTCATTATGATCTTCCCTTAAACCATATTGTAAACACTCAAAATTTGGGATAAGATGTTTACTGTAGTAGTAGGAACATTATATCGATTTCTTGGCAGATTAAAGTGATTCCTAAAACCCGTTTGAAAATATTGAGCTCAAAGCTGTAGTGTAAGGACCTTCTGGCACTTCTGTCTCCATAGTAACGCTTCCATCACTTGTATCCTCCCTGGGCCCACCTTGCTATCATAGGAGAAATGCTTGTGCTGTCTGGCTGAGCTGATGCTGGCTAGGTGGCCAACCCTAGTCTGCCACATAAGGTATTTCTTCACATAGTTTCATTTGTATTGAGAAATCACTGCACTTCTGCAATTTCATTTATCATTTTTATAATATCTATTATAAATCAGTGACTATAATTTATCCATATTATAATAAATCTGGGGTCATAACAGTTTTATTTGTCTATCTTCTTCATTGTTTAGCTCAGTATCATGCATGGGGTACACATTGTGTATATGTATTGAGTATTTGAGTATACTATTTGTATATTTTATAGCAAATCACTCAATTACTAATTTATTTATGCAATTGCTTTGCACATTTGGAAAAAAACTATATTTCAGTAAGTATTTTGGTTTGAAGTGTATCAAGTTAAACAATTTTTAGGGATACATATCAATCCCATCTATCTATCATATATGTATTTATTATCTAAATATATAAAATTATTTATTCCCAAAGAAAGAGCAGAAAAAAAGGGAAAACATTTCTGTGACTAATTTTGAAAGAGCTGTTTGCACAGTTGTATGCCTGTGTAATTAAACTATTAGGAAAATATTACCTCTGGATCCATAGGTGGATATTTCCGGCCTTTGCCTTTTCCAAGGCATTTGGTCTTTCCTCCTTCCAGTAACTGACACCAAAAACCCTTTTGAGGATCAAACCTAAAGTAAAACATACAATGATTATATACTGTAGACAGAATTTTCAGTGAGAAAGCCTCAACAGAGGATAAGCACTGATTTAATTTAATTTTTTTTAACTTTTATTTAATGCATATAAATTTCCAAAGTACGACTTATGGATTACAATGGCTTCCCCCCCATACCGTCCCTCCCACCCACAACCCTCCCCTTTCCCACTCCCTCTCCCCTTCCATTCACATCAAGATTCATTTTTGATTATCTTAATATACAGAAGATCAGCTTAGTATACATCAAGTATGGATTTCAACAGTTTGCTCCTACACAGAAACATAAAGTGAAAAATAATAGATGATTTTTTTAAATGATGATGAAATCAGAGCAGACCTATTGTCATGTTTAATCCCAGTGAGAGTCAAGTTGGGAATTGATAATTTCTTCTTTTTTTTTTTTTTTTTCTATGGGTAATTATTCAACTGATTTGAGAGAAGTTAAAGAAACATATATTATATTTAAGTAGCTCTAATCAAATAAAAAATATAGATCTGTAGACCAATTTATTTATTTATTTTATAGAGATGGAGATAGAAAAAGATGAAGATACAAAGAGAAAGAGAGAGAGGTCTTCCATCTGCTGGTTCACTTCTCAAATCTAGTAACTGCCAGGGCTAGGCCAGGCCAACACCAGGAGCCAGGGCTGAAATCCAGGTCATTTATGTAGAGGGCAGGAACCTAAATACTTGAGCCACCACACCATCTGCTGTATTGTAGGGTATGCAGTAGCAGGAAACTGAAATGGAAACTGGAGCTGAGATTTGAACCCCAGCACACTAATACAGAATGTGAGTTTCCTGGGGCTGGCACTGTGGTGGTTAACGCCCTGGCCTGAGGCGCCAGCATCCCATATGGGCGCTGGTTCAAGACCTGGCTGCTCCACTTCCAATCCAGCTCTGTGCTATGGCCTGGGAAAGCAGTGGAGGATGGCCCAAGTCCTTGGGTCCCTGTACCCACTTGGGAGACCCAGAAGAAACTCCTGGCTCCTGGCTTTGGATTGGTGCGACTCCGGCCATTGCAGCCAATTGAGGAGTGAACATCAGATGGAAGACCCCCCCGCTGCCCCCGTCTCTGCCTCTCCTTCTCTCTCTGTGTAACTCTTTCAAATAAATAAAATAAATATTAAAAAAAAAAAAAAAGAATGTGAGTTTCCCAAGTGTTAGCTTAACTGCTGTGCCAAATACCCATCCAGGGTAGGATAATTTTATGTTGAAATTATTGAAAATCCTATTTCACCTATGAATCCATAAAAAAAGAAAAAAATCAAGACCCAGGGCTAACATTGTGGCATAGTACCGAAGCCTCTGCCTGTAGTGCTGACATCCCATATGGATGCTACTTTGGGTTCTAGCTGCTCCTCTTCTGATCCAGCTCACTGCTTGTGGCCTGGGAAAGGCCAAGTGCTTGCTCCCTTGCACCCATGTGGGAGACACAGAGGAAGACCTTGGCTCCTGCCTTAATATCTTTCCAGCTCCAGCCTTTGTGGCCATTTGGAGTGTGAATCAGCAGAAGGAAAACCTCTCTCTTTCTGTCTCTCCCACTTTCTGTAACTCTGCCGCAAATAAATAAATAAAATATTTTTAAAAAATGAAGACACAATAATCAAAACTGCAGCCAATATATAAAGAACATTTAGGATTTTTTTTTTACTTATTAATGTGATTTCCTTGGCAAAAGATATCAACAACTTTCTTTGAACGTTTCAATCATATATTAAACAGCTTCAATAAAGCATAGCTATGCTTCTCAAAATATAAGCCTAATTAAATCTTACAGTTCAGAAAATGTATGTTTTAAAATGGTTCTTTTTTTAAAAAGAGGAAATGAATATTGTAAAAATATATCATTTTTTTCACATAGCATGAGACAGGTTATACAAATGGTGAGTGGAAGATTAGACAACACTTCTTATCTTTTTTGAAGGCTGAAAATCCTATTACATAATTCAGGCCTATATACTCTTTTTTTTTTTTTTTTTTTGACAGGCAGAGTGGACAGTGACAGAGAGAGAGACAGAGAGACAGAGAGAAAGGTCTTCCTTTTTGCCGTTGGTTCACTCTCCAATGGCCACCGCGGTCGGCGCATTGGGCTGATCCGAAGCCAGGAGCCAGGTGCTTTTCCTGGTCTCCCATGGGGTGCAGGGCCCAAGCACTTGGGCCATCCTCCACTGCACTCCCCGGCCACAGCAGAGAGCTGGCCTGGAAGAGGGGCAACCGGGACAGAATCCGGCGCCCCGACTGGGACTAGAACCCGGTGTGCTGGCGCCGCAAGGCGGAGGATTAGCCTATTGAGCCATGGCGCTGGCCGTCAGGTCCATATACTCTTATGAAAAGAAATACAATGCTGCTTTGCTCCTATGGCTGCACCAAGTTTTAGAAGAAAGGATTTGTGACCTAATTATTTTGTTTAAAGTTAAATATGCAAGGATTTTTGTGTAGGATTAACAAGACAGGAAACAATGAAATAATGAGTCAAATAAGAAGGAAAATTTTAAATGTATTACTATGGGACTCAATGTACGCATAAAACATTGAAAGGTTTGCAGTTTTGTTGCTCAGCAGATGTTTTAGAAGGATGATGCCTAATTGACTGGGATGTAAAGTTAATTAGTTGCAGAATATTTTGTTGCCCTGGGCCCATTCCTATAATACCAGTGCACCTGCAATTTGCCTCTGCACATATGTGAACTCATTTAAGGAGAGAAGGAAATTTTCCTCACAGTTCCCTGCCCAACCTATTATTAGAGACCTGATCCTTGCAGTCCAGGTTGTCCTAGTACATGTTATCAATTAAAATTTAATATATCACCAGTTAAATGGATAAAAAGAAGACAGAGTCACATCCAACCAGGACTTTTCAATCTGCTCCCTGCCTATCAGAGAGCTTTCTCTGGTTTTCTTTAATTTCCCAAGAGGAGAAACAATTCAGCATGCTGTGCAAAATGAGATGGGGAAGTAAGGCACAATGGCTTCCCTAAACAGCATTTTCTGCCTCAGAATGAGAATATTTAATTGCATTAAGGTAAAATACAGCTCTGGCAACAGAGCCAGGATATTCACACATGCACTGAGCATATCTTCCTTCCCTGCTTTCAGGTACTGCTGATGTCTCGGTGGGCTGCATCTCTCCTTGCTCACCATAGCAGCAGTTGTAAGGCAGGGTTTAGCAAAACCTGAGGATGACAGCTATCCAGAGTACTGAAAGTGGTTTTTAAATATAGAGTTGTGATAACCTTGAATCCAAATTATTTTGCAGTCTTGGTTTCATTTATTGCACTGGCAACTTTATGAACCTTAAGTCTAACAAAGGACATTAATCCTCCCAGTTAGATCAATTCATTGCTTTATGATTTTATTTTAGTAGGCATGAAAATGTGAAATTAAGATGCCAAGCCTTTCTCAAATAATTGTTAGGCAACTTTTAGAGCAGGGTTATTTGCCATTCAAGTTCTTTTATTACACTGAACACCCCTATAATCATTAATTTTTGTTTTGTGTGAGACACAGTAAAAAACTTTATATTTTGTGCTTGCTTGTAATCTCTCCTTCAAAAGTATGATTTTATGGTTATCAAAACATAAGCAACTATTTGTAGTAAACAGGATAAAACTGTTACCTAAACTGCTGCTGAGAGTGAAGATCCAATATCAACAACAATTCATGCAAATCATATTAGAAGATGCTTGCCCACTTAAACAACAGGAGCATGCCTTGTGTTGTTATTTCCACGTGTAAGTAAAAACTTCATTAAAGTTGCTTTAGTGGGTAAAGAACAACCAAATCTTATTACCGCTTTCTCTGCCCCTTCATTATCCACTCTAATTGTCTAATTGCTGGTTTTAACCTGCTGTGACCTGGGAAATTATATAATCAGGCTTGTTTGAATTTTGTCTAAAATGTAATAGGTTCTGTATTAGTCCTTATAGGGCAGTCTTTCAGAAGTAAAGTACATGCCTTTTTAAAGAATGTTTTGGCTGCTAGAAAGTTTTGGGATTTTAAAGGGGTTGTTATGTTTAACAAATATTTTCTTCATTTTTAATTCCCTTAAGATGTGTTTTATTTTCCCAAGACATGGCAATAGTAGCTCTCATAAGCATTTCATTTCTATCTTGCAAATTACCCAGAAGAAAGGGCTGTAACTTTTTCACCTTTTTAACGTCAATTCCTAGGACATTTTCTGTTTGGAGTAGGTAGGCAAAAAGTTTACTTAACCAAAATGATATTAAGAAAAAGCTCACAAAAAGATAAATTTGTCATAAAGTAAAATATCTGTAAGGTAACAGTGTATAGGATAAAGTGCTCCAGGAATTCACAAAGAAGACACAACATGAATAATGAAAATATTCCTTTGACTGCTTTTGAGTAGCATAATGATGTAGAAATTCATAGCTAGTATTAATGATGCTATATACACACCTACCAGTGATAAATTATGATGGCAAATAATGGAAATGAAATCGAGCATGAGAATAGACTCACGTTAGTGCTTCAGAGTAATTATAATGCGGTGTCACTCCCAGAAACTTCTGGACTTCATCCATCACTGTAGCTGGGTCAGATCTCAACTGCTGTCCATCAATAATTAGTAACTGTAAAATCAAAAATAATCACTTTATTAAGAAGAAAACTAAATGAGTAGAGGGAGCTGCTCCCCTGACTTGGTACAGCATTACTAAATTAGGTCAGGATGAAAGGAAGAAAACAAACACTTCTGAGTATATCTATTGATATTTCCTATATTTGTGTCTTTCTAAATAAACAATAATTAAACTTTTCTATTGGCATAGTTTCTGTGTGACTTAACAAGTCACAACACTTACCTTATTTCACTGCAAATCAGAAATAAACACAGCTAGTTTCCTTCATTTTCAGTGGAAATTACATCTGCAGTGTAATCTGATACTTATCCAGCCTACTCAATCCCTTGGGCTAACCCTTGAGCTAAGGACTGTGAAACAGTGGGCATCCAGATGAAAATTAACCAATTATTCCCCACCCCCCAAGCTGTTCTTACAACCCATGAAAAGAATGGGAGAAATTGTTGTTCCTGTTTTTTGATTCAATTCCTTAGAATAACAGAATTATCTGAGCAATATTAAAAAATGACAATCCTGAATTTCTTGCTGGAGCTCCAGTTGTGCAGAGCTGAAATGGATATGTTAAGGGTATGGGTGCTTTCCTCAAATCTTGTTTCTTCTGTTCTGTGTTCCTGGAGCTGCTAAAACATGTTCCGTTTTACAGTCTATCATGTGACCTCCTTATAAGGACAGACACCGAGTGGGAATCTGCATACATATGGTGCTCCATAATGTTATTGTCTAACTCGCTGCTTGACAAGTAGTTGAGAGTGGTTTCCAATGAGTCTCCTCATTTTAGAATAGCTACTATTTAAAAAAAGACTCTCTAGAATGTGTTTCAGAGCCAATCAACAATTACCTAATAGTATTATTGCAATCAAATGGCTAAAAACCCTCACATTGTCCTAACTTTTCATTGTCTATGATTATAAGTGTGGCAATGTTAATTCACATTTTCTGTTTGACATTTCAGTGTAATCATGATATAATATGCATAAGTAGCTAAGTTTGGGATTTTACCTGAGAAGTGTCGAAGTAAGTCAGCCATCTCTCTATGTGTACTGCATACCATCCAGGAATGAGGCATCTTCTCTGCAAAGTCTTTAAGTCAGATGGGGCCCAATGACCAGTTGTAATAACTTCATAGAAATTAAATCTCAAGGCAGCTGGATCTTCATGTGATCGTTGGTGCTTTAAGAAGATAGTAGACTGTAGAGTCAGTATTTTATGCCCCAGCAGGTATGTGCATATGTGTGTGAGTTCTGTGAGTATATGTTTTATGTGGATGTGTGTGTGTGTTCATTGTATGCGTCGAGGTGTACTTGTATACGTGTTTATGTCTCCTTCATTACACAAAATAATAAAGATTGATTACTTGACTTTAGAATAGAAAATATGGCAAAGGCCGCCTGTACGAAAACAGGCATCACCATATTGCTTTTTTTAAAGTAAAGTCTTTACTGCATGTTATAAGCTAAGCTTATTGTTATCTTGATGTCTACAATGTTTAGAGGCTAGACAGAGGCAGAATACAAAGCATTTCTTTATGAATCTGATCACATGTGAAAATATGTCAGAAGCCAGGACAATCAAGCCTGCTGAAGAGATACTGAGATGGGTAAGAGTAGGTTTCTATGTTATACAGCCCATTGGTTCATTACAAGTGCACCTGCAGGTTCTGACAGTTTCCCAATATCCCTGTGTGGCAGGTACTACAGGTAAGGAGAGAGAGGGTAGCTATTCTTTATGTTTGTTTGGGTGTCATTCATGCTGTTGTTGCCCAATATCCTATTTTTTTGTTCTTCCATGGGTTTCTACCTAGCCTTGCTGATTTTCAAATACTGCTTTACTGCAACTTTTTTTTCCCTCAACTCCTCTGTCCTTCATACTAACCTACCATTGGCCAGGAAAGAGCAAGCCCAACTCAATGAGAGTTGAATTTCTTCCTTCCTTCCTTCCTTCCTTCCTTCCTTCCTTCCTTCCTTCCTTCCTTCCTTCCTTCCTTCCTTCTTTCCTTCCTTCCTTCCTTCCTTCCTCCCTTTCTTCTTTCTTTCTTCCTTCCTCCCTCTCTCTCTCTCTCTTTCTTTCTTGGCAGGCAGAGTTAGACAGTGAGAGAGACAGAGAGAAACATCTTCCTTTTTCCATTGGTTCACCCCGCAAATGCCCACTACAGCTGGCACGCTGCGGCAATCTGAAGCCAGGAGCCAGGTGCTTCCTCCTGGTCTCTCATGTGGGTGCAGAGCCCAAGCACTTGGGCCATCCTCCACTGCCTTCCCGGGCCACAGCAGAGAGTTGGACTGGAAGGGGAGCAACCAGGACAGAATCCGGCACCCCAACTGGGACTGGAACCCAGGGTGCCGGCACTGCAGGCGGAGGTTTAGCCTAGTGAATCGCGCCGCTGACCAAGAGTTGAATTTCAAAATCAATAGAACTTCACAAGCATTTATGAAGTTCCTTCATAAAGTAGAAACACTGCAATAGTTTCTGGAAATAAAAATTATATAAATTGTGCATAATCATTATCTTCAAATGAATCAAATCTAGTGTGGGAGACAATAGATTGTAATAAGTCCTATATTAGACTATAGATGACTGTTACTTGCTGTGACAAGAAGACCAATAAGTGTGTAATTCTGACTTAAAGGTGGAAATTTTTCAATGGCTGAAATTTTTGAGTTAAAATGTAACAAGAAAAGTTTTGGTGATCAGAAACAGCATGGAAACTAAGAGAAGTTTATCATCTACAGTAAGTTTGAGCCAAAGTAGATAATATATGTGGATAATTGAATTGCTTTTAAGAGTTATCTAGAAGTGAAAATGAAAAAATCTAGCACAGGGTATGGATAGAAGTGTTTTATCAGGGTGAAGCCTGATAAAATTGCATAAAAACAGGTGTCTTGAGTGAGTAATGGGCCTTATGTGTGAGTTAGAAGTAAAAATAACTAGAAAAGTAAAGATGACTAGAGAATAATGAATAATTAAAGAGTAATAAGGCAGTGGCAAATTGCTGGGGTTAATAAAAGTCCCCATATTATTTTAACTATTGACATTGTTACTTGTGTTTGTATTATTATATAATATATGGAGATTATGCCATTCATTTAATTAACAAAATACATAGAAATTATGTGTCTTGAATAAATAATTATAAACATTCTGTGTTTATATTAATATGATACAATGGTACTAGCATTTCTATTTCAAGAAACGATAATATTGATGTGTGCTGCATTGATTTACACTATTTTAGCATCAACTTTTTTTTATATTCCTGAAACCAAGAAGATTAGCACAAAAATATGACCAGAAAGTCACAAAGGGACATATTTTATGTAAAAATAGCACTATAGCTTCTTTGTGAGGCCCATTATAAAAATATGGCATAGAAATTACAGTGACAGGTGACATTTGTAGGAGTTTCTGAATTACACATGCTGAGCTTTGGATTTATGGTATTTACTGAATAGACAGGACTAGCTAAGTAATAGGCTACATTATTTTGAAATGTGGAGCACTTTGGGGGTCTCCTCTTACCAATATGACAATAAAAAGTATTATCAGAAAAAACAATTCCTTTCAAACCTGTATATTCAAAGAATTTATTTGAAGAGCCAGGTACACAGAAGAACCTGCATCATATAGATTCTCCTTTATTTAAATTGATTTCTCTATGTGGGAAAATAATTAATTTAAAACTGCTGTAAGTACTGAGCATGATTTCTACCAGGAAAATATTCACTATTTCCCTTGAATACTTGAATTCAACACTTTTAATTAAGATTTACCATCAATGCTTTTGGCACAATTTTCAGAAATAAGTTTATCTTGCCTTGCAGTGTGAGTTTTCATAAAGTGAGAAAGGCATATTTTTGTATCTTATGGGAAATAATGATTCATAGATTCTGATATGGTAATTTATGAATCTTGTTTCTAATCCAAGTACTTCACTTAGATTCCCAACTACTTGCAATACCATTTGTAATGTCATATTTTTTTATGTCTAATGTTATTTGCTTTCAGCAATACATATGTGTTGAAGACATTATAAAAATTCAGGAAAAAGAAGGAAAATAACTTTATTAAACTTATTTTCCTCTTTAAAAATTTCCTATAAGTTTTTATCTTAGCATCCATTTCTATGTGTGTTAAATTTACACATACACAAAATGCACTCACATGTTTGGGATTTTGATATATATATATATACACACACACACACACACACACACTGCTATCACCACAAATTCAATTGTCAATTTCAATAAGGCTGTCATAACTGTAGTCAACTATACACTTTTGCAATCAACTTTATCCCACCTTCATGTACAAAGATTTGAAGTTCCCCTTTTTCTCTCCTCAAAATGTTACTTCCCAAAACTATCATCTTCCTTTGCATCAGATTGTATGATTCCAGACTGGCCAAAAGGAGAAGGTCATCATGGTCACTTCAATGTGTCTATCCTATACCTTTGAGTTGACCAGCATGTGCTGTCCCCCAGGTTTCAGCGTGCTGGGGACCTAAGCAAAGGCTATTGAGTGAATCCAGTGGGCCTACAGACTTGGAAGACTGCAAAAGGGTGTGTTTATTTTTGGTAATTGATTCATAAAATTTAACATTTTCTTTAACAGGATTGTGTAAAAAAAAGCCACATTATTTTATCTGTGATTTTAATGCCAATAAAAATCAGTTATTTTCCAGTTTTTTGAAAAAGAAAATTTTTATTAATCATGATATGAAATTGACATAACATCCTATTAGAATTGGATTAGGACAAACAATGTAGCTACAAAATTTATATCAAATGTCCAAAGTCAGTTTTTTTAAATGTTTCAGATATATCCAAATGTTTATGTTCAGCAGCACCTCAAAAGAAGTTGACATTTAATGAGGGAATAACTAAAACTTTCTTACTGATTGGAAACGTTTTAATTATGGTTTATAGCTGTTCCCTTTGTTCTATACAGTTAATTTTAGGCTTTCTAAGATATATTTCTAGGAGTAGGCATTTAGTTTGGTAGTTAAAACACCCACATTCCAAATCAAGTGCTCAGATCCAAAGCCCGCATCAGCTGCCTGACTCCAGCTTCCCGCAAATACAGATCTTGGGAGGCAGCAGCCGATGGCTCAGTAATTGTCTTCCTGCTGCCCATGTGTATATCTGGTTGGAGTTCCTAGCTCCTAGCTTTGGTCTGACCCAGTCCTTGTCTTTGCAGGCATTTGGGGAGTAACCCTGTGGATATAGCCTCTCTCGCTCTCTCTTGCTCTCTCTCTCAAAAATAAAGAATTAAAAATAAAACATATTTCTATTTATTAAACTATTTCCAGTAGCCCTCCTTTCCTGGATCTTCAGAGGACCTATTACCTATATCTCTCCTTAACTTTATCTCACTTTTTCCTTAAAAGTTTTTCATCTTAATCCAAATCATCACCACCACATAATTCACTTTCCTTGACCTCATGTACGCTTCTGTGTAGTTAGCATGTCTTATTTTTCCCCTTCAAAATCACACTTCTGAGTCTTTTGCAATTGGTCCCTTTATTTCTTCATCCCCACCTAATTATTCCTTGATCTAATCCACTTGTTTTCGCTCTTTTCACTCTGCTGTTAGGGGTTCCACTTCTCTCCACATCTTTCATTTTTTTATTTACTTATTTTTAAAAATATTTTATATATTTGAGAGGTAGAGTTACAGATGGTGAGAGGAAGAGACAGAGAGAAAGGTCTTCGTTCCGTTGGTTCACTCCCCAAATGACAGCAACGGCTGGAGCTATGCCAATCCGAAACCAGGAGCCAGATGCTTCTTCCTGGTCTCCCACGTGGGTGCAGGGGCCCAAAGACTTGGGCCATCTTCTACTGCTTTTCCCAGGCCATAGCAGAGAGCTGGATTGGAAGAGGGGCAGCTGGGACTAGAACTGGCACCCATATGGGATGCTGGCACCACAGGTGGAGGATTAATCTACTGCTCAACGCCGCTGGCCCCCACATCTTTCATTTTAAAGAAAAAACTTCAAGGCTGCTATAGCATAATTGTTTTATTTCTTATTAGCTCGTTGGCACTGTCATTTCCATCTCTACTTGGCAGTCTGCCGTCTCTTGGATTCTGTGTTCCTATGCTCCTGGATTTCTTCTTTTTTTCATCAATTTGGCTGTATTTTCTTGTCTCTGTTGCTGCTTCATCCTGCTCTACACTTACATCTCTAAACCTTCTGCTAGAGTGATTTAATTATTTTTGTGACTATTGCTTCATATCTCTGATTCACAAATCACTGTTTTTGTCCCAGACCTCTCCCCAGGGTCAGCTTACATTACTATTCCTTTTGGTTAAGGCAACGCTATATCCAAGTCATGGTCATCACCTGCACTTCTTTAGCCCAGTACCTCTCACTCCACCCCACTCCACCTGTATTCTTTATTGATTCTTTTTTTTTTTTTCATGAGAGTGTGTTCATGACTTCCAAATGCTCAGAGAGAAAATCAACTCAACCTTGATACTGCTGCCTCAACATTCTCAACATGTTCTGTAGATTTTTTAATGATTTATTTATATATTTGAAAGAGTTACAGGGAGGATGGGGAGAAAGAGAGAGAGAGAGAAAGAAAGAGAGAGAGAGAGAGAAAGAAAAGAAAGGAAGGAAGGAAGGAAGGAAGGAAAGAAGGAAGGAAGGAGAGAGAGAGAGAGAGAGAGAGAGAGAGAGAGAGAGATTACATCAGCTGGTGCAAGACTGGCCCAAACCCAGGAACCAGGAGCTTCATTGAGGTCTCCTTAGTGGGTGCAGGGTCTCAAATACTTGGGCCATCTTTGTTGCTTTCCCAGGTGCATTAGCAGGGAGCTGTATGGGAAGTGGAGCAGCCTGGGCTTGAACTAGTGCCCACATGGGATGCTGGTGTTGAAGAGGACAGCTTTACCTTCTATGCCACGGCACTGGCCCCAGGTTCTGTAGATTTTAATCCTGAAACATCTCTTGATACTTTATCCTTCATTCAGTTTCTACTTAACTATCTTTACCTTTTCTACCTTCACTTTGTCTTCAGCACTATTGTCGCTCCCCGTCTTCGTGGAGGAACGACACTAAACCCTGCCTAGGCTTCATATCTGAGTCACGGCACCATTATGTTGCTCCCCCTCTTCGTGGAGGAACGACACAGGACCCTGCGCTGTTCTTTCGTCTGCTCGGCCCTCCCCGGGTTTGCTGCTTGTTCTTCCCGGGTTGGCTACTATCCCTTCCACCTCCGTGGAAGGGCAGTTCCCCCTGGCCACATTCCCCACTTCCGCAGGGGAGCGGCACACCGCCGGCCGGCTCTCTCGGGGGCTGCACAGGTGTTCCCCTTAGATGTTCCTGGTGCATGTTGTCTCTCTCCTCCTTTATAGTCCTCTTCCGCCAATCCCAACTCTGCTGCCCACACGCCAAGTACGCTGCTCTCCTCCAATCAGGAGCAGGTCCTGCAGCTTGTCAAGTTGGTGAGAGGCAGCTGGGTAGAAGCTGTTGCCTCCTCTCCCAGCGCCATATTGTGGGAGAGCAGATGCATAGAATAAGTCTTAATTCCAGTAACTTAGTCCAGTCCAGGTTGCTCCCCACAACTATGGCAAGAGACTTTAATTCAATATCTCTGAATGGTCATTTGTCATGCTCCAATCTATTCTTCAAATAGCAGATGATACAAAAAGTTTTCTAAACGAAATCTAGTCATCTCACACTGGTGGCTCTTTTTCAAAGGCTTTCAGTTGCTCAAAAAATGCAGCCCACATGGTGTCCTCTTAACACCACCTCCTGCTGTCTCCTCCAAAAGTTCTCCACTAGTCACACCTCTTCAATGCATCTGGGCTTTTTATTAATGATTCACCATTACTTATATTAAAGCTCTGAACATATTTACTGCTCATACCTGGTACCAGGAGTATGCCCTGTCTGAGGGGTCGATGAGGATGGTGATGATCTTGGCTTTGGGGATGAGAGATGCAGCTCGCTTTGGAGCTTCCTCCGAATGAAAGTAATTAGCACTCTTTTCAAACAGAAAGTCACTGGTGATGTTGGATGGGGTAGGGAAGAAGTCCATATACCTGAAGGCAGAGAACAACAATTAATCTAATATTTCTTTCTTGTCCTACTCTGAATAGGAAATACTTCAAACATATTTATATTAGTTCATACCAGTTTCTGATCATTGTGCTGTAATAGTCTAAACAGTGGATATTCCATATGCTTTATTGTGCAATCTGAAATACTTTGGTTCTGATGACACATTTTGGGGAAGGGAAGAAGTAAGATGGAATAGGTAGGCTGATAAGGAACAGAGGGTGAGATTCTGTGCTAGGAGCTATCTGAAACCAAATCCAGAAACATTAAGCTTACTCCTGACAAGCAGAAGCTTGAATGCAGAAATTCTTAAGGTGAGATTAAAATTCACAAGACTGAAATAAGTGTAAATCAAAAGAGTCACAAAGTTCCAAATAGATCAGGGCATTTTTGCTCCCCTTTTTAACTTCTGCATAATTTGTCGTCTATGTAGCAATGTGAACACATTATAGTCTATCCAGAGTAATTAAGGGGATCTTTCCTGCCAGCTGATCCTGTGGTGCCTCAGCAGGTTCATTCCTCCATATGTTGTCAGAACGTTCCTCTGCGTGTAGATTATGGAATCAATATGTTCTGAGGTTAATTCAGTGCAAAACTTTAATGATGTGTGTAACCCTTCTTGCATTTCTTCACTTCTCTAAGCCTTAAATGTTTTAGATGTAAATAATGAGAGCAATTAAGAAGTCATATAAGACTTGCTTTTGTCTCTGACATTTGTTATTATTTTCCCCAAATGTGGGGTGATAAAAATACCATCTATATTTCTGCTTAATATTTTGTGTTCCATTTGAGCTCTCAAATATAGAAAAAAAAAAAAAACCTGCTGTCACACTTCGGAAAATTTCAATCTAATTCCAAAACGTATTTAGCCCCTTAAAAGTAACATATGATAGTAATACCTTAGATGCTGAGTGTAAACATTACTACTCATGATGGGAAGCCAGATATGCTCACTGGTATCAACCCTAAAAGAAATGGCTCTTTAACTGAGGGCAGTCTCACGTGTGACGATGTCATAAAGAGAGATCTATAAATGTATGCATTGAAGGGCAGTTTCCTCGTGTGAGATTTGTGTTATTTAACTGGGAATTAGAAATGAAATACAAGGCCATATTTTCTTGGAAAACTAGGATACAGCTTGAAAAAAAATCACCACAGTGAAGATCATTCCATAATCAGTATTATTCTGTTTTAGCGTTGGGGTATATTTTGACTTTTAATTAATTTTATAATTTATGAAGAGCTAATTAATGTTTTTTTATTCTTGTGTCTGACTAGAATTGATTTGGCTTCTGAAATGCTTTGTAATTAGTTTCCTGACAAATATGAGCCCATAATATAACATATATGCTTAATGAAGATATATGTCACAGAGTATAAAATAAAGCAATCTATTGATTTATTCATTTCCTCAAGTATCATTGTGAAGACGAATTGTTTGTTTAGTAAAAAAAGGCACAGTAAAATAATAGTATGCTTAAAGAGAATTTTAAATATCCTTATGAATAATTCTGATGAAAAATGTTCCATAAAGTTATTTATTCAGTCTTATTAATTTACCAGAAAAATATTATCATTATTTCACTGTCCAAATGAAATTACAGGCAACACTGATTAAAAATATCATCATTACAAATCAATTTCTAATTCAATGTGGTAGAATTGAACATAATGAATTTATTTGGTAATTATGCAGATGCCATGCATACATCCATAATTGCTCTGTAACAACTGAGCATGTGTTTAACAATGGAGTTTATTTTTTGTTATTTATCTTACCAGTCAATTCCCTTGTGATAATTGTTGCCATTAAAGAATTGAACTTCCTCAAATGTTTTTGGGCTTGGGAGATTGCTGATGATAGAAGGGTGCATAAGAAGAAATAAATAAAGTGCTGTTGTTCCTGTTACAGAAAAGAAGGGTAAGGTTATATGGCAGCAAAAGAATAAACAAAACATTAGTTGAGAATTTTGTTTGCTCAAAAACTAATATGGAAAATCTTTCCACTATCAAATTGATTTCCTCAAAATCAATTTGGTTCTTTTTTTGTGGCAACAATTTAATTGTTCTTATATTAGTGTCTGTGATTCTATCTATCTAAATACCTAGTTTTCTTTAGGACATAGCCAAAGTGAAGTGGACTGATGACCCAGCTGTCATAGGACTTCAGAAATCCCAAGGATCAGTTTCCCTCATGGAACCAGTTGAGTGGCTAAGTATCAAGAGCACAAGTGTCTCTATCTCTTTTTCTGGTATTAGGCACAGTACCTAAACTTGGGGGGTCTTCAATTAACATCCAAACTTAGATTAATTAAACCAAAAAATACAGCAGAGGTCAATGTGTTACTGTCTATATAATCCTGAAATATTGATTAGTGATAAATCACAACAAGACATATTTTCTGCCCTCAATAAACTCAAATGCCTGTGTGGACTTGTCAAGTACGGAAGTAATTGCAATGCAGTGAGAAAGGTGCCATAATGAGAGATGGCCAGGTGTTAGAAGAAAATGGATGATACAGGCAGTGACGTCTTCTAGGAAGAAATGCATTTTTAGGCTGTCCCTTAAAAATGTGTTATTGCAGCACGCCGGCCGCAGCGGCCATTGCGGGGTGAACCAACGGAAAAAGGAAGACCTTTCTCTCTGTTTCTCTCTCTCACTGTCCACTCTGCCTGTCAAAAAAAAATGTGTTATTGAGCAAGTGTGGGAGAATAGGAAAGGATCAAGAACAATTGTCATTTGAACCCACACCTGTCCCCCTCCCCAGCATGTTGGACACTCAAGTGTGATGACTGAGGCAGTAGGCTGAATCAGATCAGCTTTAAAACCTTCTTAATGGGCACATCCTAGAAATCTCAGATGTAATCTCTAAACCTTATTTTCCTCGGAGCCAGTCAGGGACTGTGGGCAGCAAGGCCACAAAATGACTGGATCATTACAGCTGTCATAAATCAAGGCTTCCCTTCTTGAAAAGGTCAATCCTTTAGCACAGAGGAGAGTGTGTTGGATGTCTCAGCCCTGGGAGAGATGAGGATAAGCTACCCAGGTGAGATGACAGATCAATTACCATTGCAGCAAGGGATCTGGAAGCAGAAAAGATCAGAAGAGGGCTGGAATTTTGCTCTAAAGTACCTTGGCTTATATGAGCAAAAACTATGGTGCTTAAAATATTAAGACTGCCACTGTATGATCCTGGCAGCTTTACCTGATCACCAAGATTGCAAGTGATTTGAATAGCTAAAGGACAGAGTCACAATAGATCTACAGTGACCAATCACCTTGGATAGAAGACATTAAAATATCTAGAATGGGTGGCTCCTAGTGAAATGAGATGGCAAAAAATTAACAAATGCATTATGCAGATTTCCTTACTAATTTAAAAGACTTAACAAATATAGGATCAAAATCATACAAATCACTAAAAAAGACACCAAAATATGAAAGAAACAGAATTTACTAAGAACTTAATTAGAAGGGCAGGCGTTGTGGTGCAGCAGATTTAAGCTGCAGCTTGCAACAATGGTATCCCATGTTGGAGTGCCAGTTTGGATACTGATGTTCCACTTCTGATCCAGCTGCCTAATTATTTACGTGGGAAAGCAGCAGAATATAGCCTGAGTGCTTGGGACTCTGATACCCACCTGGGAGAGCAAAATGCAGTTCCTGGCTCCAGCCTTCACCTGGGCCCAGACCTGCCTGTCTGAGCCATTTGGGGAGTGAACCAGAGGATGGAAGATCTCTTTATCTTTCTGTCTTTCCCTTTGTCTCTGTCACTTTGCCTTTCAAATTAATAAAATAAATACTTTAAAAAAAAAGAATGGAATTAGAGGCCTAAAGGCCAGATAGAAAAAATACCTTGAAAAGAATGAAAATTTCAAACATAAAAATTGAGGGTTGAGAGAAGTCTTGAAGAACTGATTATATTTGCTCCTGAAAAATAACAGGAATTCACAGACAATAAAGATAAGAAAAAATATTTCAAATCCAAAAAATCAATTAAAAGTAGAATAGTTGCTAGGATTGAATGTGGAATTTGGAATGATTCTTTTTAATAGTTTTTAAGATAGGATTTACATACAAGTATCTAAAATATGATGAGAATGGGGAGGAGAGAGAGAGAGGTAGATTTTTGGTATACATAAGAGATCTGAGGGAAATGAGAATTTACTGTCACTGAGGTGTTGAATGTAGATGGATGATACATATATAAAGGAACATTTTTGAATTATTGCTGAATATGCAAAATGTGTACTTTTTATCTCACTGACCAGTATGTAGAAATGTTAGTCACCCTTGTGGTTACAGAATTTTACCCAGATTTTCCCTTGGCAACAGCAGTATGTTTATATTCTGAGTCCTAGTCCTTCTTGCCATTAGGAGCAGGAAGAACATGAGGACAGATTGACAGACAGGTAGCAAGTGAGAGTGTTCTCATGCAAGGAAGCAGATTCTTGCTTTATTAGGCCCACTATCTCGAAATACATATATGTTCCTATTGTCACCCATGTTTTCACCTATTATTGGCATTTATTTTAATCCAATTTCTTTGATACAAATGTTTCATGGGAGAAGAGGTCTCACATTCTGTAATAAAATTTTTATTTTATATGATATGCAATCAACTTGTCTTCAATATTTTTAATGTTCTAGGATAAGTCAGCCAATCATGAGAAATTCATATTCACAGTGGGAATACTGGTCTTCTGGAAGATTCAAGGCCAATGAATTAAAACATTGGAATTATTGTGTTACATTTAGTCCTATTAGAAATCCTCTTTTATAATGGATAAGTCTGAAATTTGACTTTGAATGACAAAGAATATATATCTGTCTGAGGGATAATGGAAGGACTCTACCATGATGCCCAGTGTTTGTGGTCCAGGAATGCCACCATGTTCACTTACTTCTCTTCCTCTTTCTTTATTCCCTTACCCACTTGCAGATGGTGGAAAATTCTTTTAAGATTCAGCAATGGCAAAGTGGGGTATCACAACTCTCAGTTATCACCTCACAACAACTGAGAACATGGTCCTTATAGGATAATTTTTCTGCCTCACGTTGACTGTAAAATATGCAGACACTATATTTAATTTGTTGACAAGCAACTTTGCATATAAGGACAGATTGTTAGTATCTATCTGTGATCCATAGCACAGAATTTGCAGTTTCTGACAGCAATGGTATTTTACCAACTAAAGCAATATGGAGAACAAAATATGGCTCAGATTGCTATGATTTGATTTGAAGGATTACTATAATCACTTTCATATTACAATACCATTTCACAGCACATAAAAAGTTGTTATCATCCATTTTTTCTTTAATTTCTTGCTTGCTTGTTTGTCTTGGAAAAGCCAAAACCAGCTACAGGTCATTCCCTACTGGTATGTCAAATATAAAAATCTAAAGATAAAACTTGCTGTCTTTATAAGTACAAACAAGAAAGGAAAATAGATTTACAGCTACAAACCTGTAATTTTCTAGCGGAACTAAGAAGCAATAATATGACAAATGATAGAGGATGTGTCTTTAAATTAAATTTTTAAAATAATTTTATAACACAGGAATGTTTTATTTCTTTAGTGGTAATTTCAGAGTTAGCACTGCTGTAAGGGAGTTGGTAGAAAATGAATGCACATTTTAAACAACAAAAAGTGATAGATCTAAAAATATGTGTTGTTTGGTCTCTCTCTCTCTGTATGTGTGTTAACTTACTGTTAACAATACAATTTATGTTCCTAGAGGAAGAAAAGCTTTCAACAATCAATATCTAATAGTCTGGGAATTTTCCCCACAATCTTTAAAATGATCTACTTGTTTGTATTACAAATATCTTCATCTGGGCCAGCCTTATTTATTGTGACTGTTTGTTTTTGTGTTATGGTTTGTGCACTCACAGATGAAAATGCTTCTAGTCAAAGTGGTGAATTCAAAATACAGCTACTCAATAAAAACTTTAATTAATCAGGACATGAGCGAAGTGTATAAAACTGCCACATGCTGAAGAAAGAGTAAAATATTCTAATTGAAAGTGTCATCTCATTGGTGAAATATTTTCAGTCTCTTTTAGTACATTCTTATACAGTGTCCTTCAGTGAATGAGAAAATATGCAGGAAAAAAGTATCTCGTGAACCTCATGTGTATCAGAAAATAAATCCAAACCATACTATTATCTAATGAATAGTTTAAAAATGACACATATAAAATATTTGCTAGTAATAATGACAGCAGATCAGTTACGAGGCCCACAGATCAGATATGTGTGCAGGGTAAAATAGTTTGAATCACGCTGAAGCATTTTTATTATAACTTAACTCAAGGGGGCCTGTGCTGTGGAGTAGCTGGTAAAGCTGCTACCTGCGGTGCTGGCATGACATATAGACGCCAGTTCAGGTTCTGTCTGCTCCACTTTCAATCCAGCTTTCTTCTGTGGTCTGGGAAAGCACTGGAGTCCTTGGGTCCCTGCACCTGCGTGGAAGACTCGGAGGAAGCTCCTGGCTCCTGGCTTCAGATCGGCACAGCTCTCCCGGATGTTGCTGCCAATTGGGGAGTGAACCAGCAGATGGAAGACCTCTCTCTATCTCTCTCTCTCCTCTGACTTTCAAATAAATAAATAAATAAATCTTAAAAAAAAAAACCCTCAGAAATTAATTAGGGAAAACCACAAAATGGGAATATGAAAAATTAGGTACCACAACTTTGTAACATAAATTCTTAGTTTTCCAAAACTTGATCTGTGGAGCAGGCATTCGGCATGTTTTTTAAGATACAATCTGAGATGCTCACATCCCATAATGGAGTGTCTGCAATTGAGTTCTAGCTTTGTTCCTGGTTCCCACTTCCTTTTAATAAGTATCTTGTGAGTCCATAGGTGATGGCTCGAGGGTTTGGGTCCCTGTTGCATCAGTTCCCAGCTCTCGCCTGGCTTCAGCCTCTCTTATGCCCAGCATTCATAGGCATTTGGGAAATGAACCAAATTATGACAGCTGGCTTTCCTTCTTTCTCACTCTCATTGCCTCTCTGCATTTTAAACATATTAATATTGCATATTCAAAAGAATAAATGAATAAAGTCAAAATATTCGATACATATTTTCAATATTTTTGAGCTCTATAATTATCCCATCACCAATTGTTGAAGAGACTGTCCTTTCTCCAGGTGTTGTTTTTTGCTCCTTTAGCTGTTTGTAGATGTGTGACTTGATTTCTGGAATGTCAATTCTGTTTCATTGGTCTGCATGTCTATTTTTGTGACAAACCAGGCTGTATTGATTATAACTGCCCCATAGTATGTCCTGAAATCTGAAGGTATTGTGATGCCTTCAACTTCGTTTTTGTTGTTAAAGATTGCTTTAGCTATTTGGGGATCTCTTGTGCTTCCATACGAATTTTAGCATTGTTTTTTTCCTAGATCTGAGAAGAATTTCATTGATATTTGGATAGGGATCACATTGAATCTGTAAATTACTTTTGGTAGTATGTACATTTTGATGATATGAATTCTTCCAATCCATGAACATTGAAGATTTTTCCATTTTTTTGTGTCTTCTATTTCATTATTTAAAGTATGAAACAAGACCTTCACCTTACACCTAATATAAAACTGAACTCAAAATAAGTCAAGGATCTAAATCTATGACCTGACAACATCAAATTATTAGAGGTGAACATTGCGGAAACTCTGCAAGACACTGACACAGGCAAAGACTTCGTGGAAAAAAGTGCCAGAAGGACTGGCAATCAAAGTAAAAGTAGACAAATGGGATTACATCAAGATGAGAAGCTTCTGCACTGCAAAGGAAACACTTAGCAAAATGAAGAGGCAACTGACAAAATGGGAGAAAATATTTGCAAACTACGCAACTGATAAAGGATTAATATTCAGAATCTATAAAGAACTTAAGAAACTCAACAAGTCAAAACAAACAATCCAGTTAAGAAATGGGCGAATGACTTAAACAGGCATTTTTCAAAAGAGGAAAAATTCAGTTGTATTTATGAAATGAATGAAGTTTGTATATCTTAAATAAAAAGTTTCTATGTTAAAAAATAAAAAAAGCTAACAAACTCACAAAAACAAAACAAACAAAAAAGAAAGAGAGGAAATTCAAATGGCCAACAGACACATGAAAAAATGTCCAGGATCACTAGCCATCAGGGAAATGCAAATCAAAATGACAATGAAGTTTCACTTCACCCCAGTTAGAATGGCTTTCCTACAGAAATCAACAAACAACAAATTCTGTCAAGGATGTAGGGAGAAAAGGTACCCTAATCCACTCTTGGTGGAAATATAAACTATTACAGCCATTGTGGAAGAGAGTACAGAGATATCTCAGAAAGATGAAAGTAGATATACCACATGACTCAGCAATCTCACTCCTGGGAATTTATCTAAATGAAATGAAATCAGCATATGACTTATCTGCACCCCATGTTTATTGTAGCTTAATTCACAATAGCTAAGATATGGAATCACCCAGAAATCCATCAACTTATGATTGGATAAAGAAGTTATGATATCCATCCATCCGTACATACATACATACAAACATACATATAGTATGGAATACTACTCAGCCATAAAATAACAATGAAATTCTCTGTTTTGCAACAAAATGGATGCAACACAAAATCATTGTACTTAGTGAAATAAGCCAGTCTCAGAAAGGCAAATATATATTTTCCCTGGTTGGTGATAACTAATAGAGGATCAAAAATGTAATTAAAGGAGTGAAATTGACATTTTGAGATTCAATGATTATTTATAGCTCTTGTCTCTTCTAATGAACAGTGTTTTTTTTTTTTTCTTCATGTTATTTGTTCAACTCTTTACTTACTGTAGGGTTAATCTTATGAGGATAAAATAAACTGAAAGTAGATCATTGTAAAACTTAAGAGAGGAAATAAGAGAAGAAGGAGGAGTAAGGGTGGAAGTGCAAGTGTGAGGGAAGGTAGAGTGAGAATATGATGATGTTCCTAAATTTCTACATATGAAATACATGAAATTTGTCTATCTTAAATTAAAAAATCAAAATATTCTAAAATAAAAATTCAAAAAAGTTAAAACTTATAGTTGAATTTAATGCTTAAGTCTAATCTTGAGCAAGGTTTGTGTCTTTTTGAGGCTCACAACATTAGAAATGATCTATGGAGATAAAAAAACAATTCAGATAATGAACTTATATGACATATGAATGTTTCACAGATAAAAACCTAATGCAATAATGCCATATGAAAAAATATATAATAATAATAATTTTTAAAAATGTAAGTAATACAACTGGCTATTTTTACCTGTTTTCTGTGGCCCAATTACGAGGAATTTTGGTAAGTGGTCACATGTTTTCTCTCTGGACCAGATGTCTTTGTGGCGTTTATCATCACATGGATTCTGCAAGAAGGAAGAAAGGAATTTTACTGCATAATAAATGCTTGGCTCTGTTTTCTAAAACTTGTTCCAAAGAATGGTATCAAATTCTTGCTGATGACCTAGAGGCAGAAGTTCGAGTTCATTCTGGTTCATTTCCAAAGTTTCCATCTAAAATGATTGGCATTTTTCCTTTCCTTGAGGCAGTAGAGCAGCAGGTGAATCCCCCTGCTTATGTTTGGATAGATTCTGATCCTGGAGGTCCTACTCTATTTTTAGGCCATGTTTTACACATGTGTATCAGAAGGCTTACTTCGATCTACCTTGGTTTGACCACAGTTCTCAGATGTTAGCAATTTACTGTTTTTTTTTTTTTTTTTTCCCTCAATAGTCTGGGGTACCATCCTTGAACTGCAGACTTTCTCAAACTTTTCTTTTTGTATCACATTATGTGCTTTTCTCTGTTATCCAAGCTACTCCCATATTTCAGCCAATTTGCATAATCTGATAACATCTAGAACATTTCTAGGATGTACCCCACTTCTGAGCTCCTGACATAAACTTTACATTGCATATGTGGCATTTCTGTATAGTCATGATGAGGAAATTTCATTCTTAGCATGCTCAGTGTGTTCAGTGGTCCAATTTTGCCTCTCTCTAATGGCTATCTGTTGTTCCAATTTCTATCTCATTCCATTTGGCTGACCTAAATTTGTCATCCAGAGCTTGACACTTTTCAGAATTAAAATGACCTCTAGAATGAGGGAGCCACAGACAGAAGGGTCTTTCATCTGCTGGTTCACTCCCCATTTGGCTGCCATGGCCAGAGCTGGGCTGATCCAAAGCCAGGAGCCAGGAGCTTCCTCGGGATCACACAGGAGGTGCATGGGCCCAACTGGTGCACATATGGGATTTCAGTGACACAGGCAGAGGTTAGCTTATTGAGCCATAGTGCCAGCTTCCACCCTTGAATATTTTAGAAGTTGAGATGTCTGGAGCACATTGAGACATATTGTTCATGGTAGAGGGTAAATAACTTGCAACTCTTACTGCTCAAAATGATGCATAGTGTTTGATAGGCCTCTTTGAATTATGAAGGCAACATATCATTGCGCTAGAGAATAGCAGAAAATAGTATTATGAGTCATTTTTAAGTGATGTAAAAGGCTGATAGGTTTGAATGAAACCCCTATTTTGAAAGGGATCTGTGAGAAGTAAGACTGAGTTACAAACTACCTTTACATCTGGGTCCTATGATCTGGTAGGCACATGATGCTGTGACATCTACTGCATAAAAACATGCCCATTGGGATTTCGGTCCACCCTCACAATGCACATACTTATGATACTTTTGGAATTTTTATCATATTATTTCCATTATATTTGAAAGACAGAGACAGACAGACAGACAGACAGAGGATATTTTCCATCTGCTGTTCACTCCCCAAATTCCTGCAACAACTAAGGTGAGAACAGGCTGAAGCCAAGTACCTGGAATTCCATCCAAATCTCTCACATGGTTGGCAAGAACCCAACACATGGACCATCATTTGCTGCATCCCCAAGATCTCATTTGCAGGAAGCTGGATTGGATGTGGAGGAGCTAAGACTCAAATCAAGCACACTAAATAGGCACTTTTACATGAGACATGACCACCCTAAATGGTGACTTGAGCAGCTGTCAAAGGTCCACTCTGTAGACTATTAATATTTTGAAGCATAGTATATCATCCAAAGCACAAATAAGAGCTTCTGGCTTGCTGTGCTCTAGAAGAGCATGCTTGCCACTCCAATTATAACAAGAGTGAACTATAGTGTGAAAGACCAGTAATATACAAAGATCACTACATTATTTTGGAATTTACTTTGTGAAATATTATGTTATACATCTAGAATTTTTCTTTGAATTCACCAATTAAACCTGTGACAAAGGGAATTGACTAAAAACCAGTGAACTTGGCATTCTTAATTTGTTTTGTATCAGTGAGGTGTTATTTTATTTTCACTGGTGCCTATTTTATACTTTCTTTTTGTTTGGTATTCAGTCTCACACACCTCAGAGTTTTGCTTTAGCTTAACTATCCAATCATATTTTTCAAAGCAACAGAGAAAGTTAAATTACTTATCCCTACTTTTTCAGTTGGTAATGGCACATCCTCTGTTATTTTTTAGCATACAGATTTCCAGGAGACTATAGTGCATAATCTCTCTTGAATATAGTTTTCTTCCTACAAATTATTTCAGTAACCTAGACGTTTTAATGATATTGCCATGGGCAAGTTCTAAACTCTTTGCACCTCAGTTTCCCCTTAGTGAACTCCTGATTATCCTGTCTCCAGAATTAATCCAAGGTATAAATGCTATGAGGTAGGGCATTTAGTCCCTTAATCTTGCTCCTAGAAGATACTTAGCTATGTTAGTTCAGTATCCAGTTCCCTTCTTTGTTTCTATGCTTGAGGAATTAAATGATGGTGTAAACTGATTTGAGAAGAACTATAAACATCAATAAAACACAAATAAAATTGAAAAAAAAAGTCCAATGGAAAGTAAACCAAGATGACGTGATTTGTGGAAAAAAACAACTCTTCCTGTTTCTCCATTCCCATTTATTGTCAGTTGGAAAATGAGTACAATTGCAACATACGCCATGGCTCAGATATGGAAGCTACATGTATGTTGGAGTGTCTGCCAGCCTGGAGACCTAGGTGATCCTGTGGAGCAGAGCTCTCTGGTTCTTTTATATTACCTACTCATACTTGGACAGTTTTGTGAGTAAGAAATATATTTCTTTAATTTAGCCAATGTAATTTTCAATGTTGTCATCTCAATGTTGTCATCTGTACAAAGTTCCAGATGAACTAACCAGTGTGCTCAGTGATATAGCTGTATTGTTGGTTTACACTTTGGCACTAGTTTCCTGTCTCACGGTAAATCAGCAATAAACAACTAAAGTTTGTTTATGGGCTACACTCTGTGAAACTCTATTGTGAGTTGACAAGTGTCAACACCAACCTAACTACAGATACAATGTATTCAAGGTGTTGGCATTGTGGCAAGGCAGGTTAAACTGCCCCTCAAGATGCCAGCATGCCATATCAGAGTCCTTGCATGTATTCCCTGCTACATTGTTTCCTAGTAACTGGCATCCTGAGAGGCAGCAGGTTGATGCTGAAGTACTTAGGTCCCTGCAAACCATGTTGAAGACCCACATGGACTTCCTGGATCCAGCCTTCAGCCTGGTGAGTATTTGGGGAGTGAGCCAGGAAATGGAAGCTTGATCCCTCTCTCTCTCTTTCTGTGTGTGTGTGTGTTTCTCTCTTTGTCTTTCAAATAAATACATATTTAAAATATTTTGAACACTATTCACTATCCTATAAGTCTTCATGTCTGCCCCTTAATCTTCGAATGATTTAAGTTTTCTGTGTAAAGCACACATATTCCAATTCATAGTCAATATTTTTTATATACTTCTTTTTTTAAGATTTATTTCTTTATTCAAAAGGCAGAGTTAAAGAGGCAGAAAGAGAAAGAGAGAGAGAGAGAGAGAGAGAGGTCTTCCATCCACTGGTTCCCTCCCCAGATGGCTTCAATGGCTGGAGCTGAGTCAGGAGCTTCTTCCAGGTCTCCCACATAGGTGCAGGGGCTCAAGGACTTGAGTCATCTTCCACTGCTTTCCTAAGCCATAGCAGAGAGCTGGATAGGAAGTGGAGCACCAGGGACCTCGAAACAGCACCCATAAAGGATGCTGGAACTGTAGGCAGTGGCTTTACCCACTATGCCACAGAGTTGGCCCCTTGCATATACTTCTAACTTATGCTAGTATTCACTATAAATAATAATACCTTGATGTTATATCCTATATTTGTTTTTGAGCTCAGGAGGAAAACTGCTAATACATTAAGAATTTTTCCCAAATGCTTCTAACCTTATGCTCTCTATCTAAAAAATAATGTTTTGATACTATCTCGCTGATTGCTGACAACATTAAATGAGATAATATTTTAAATTACTAAACCATACTGTACACAAGAGAGTGCTTATGATTTGATTCTGTAATGTTGCTTGATTTCCCTTTGTCCAGATCAGTTGGGCAACTGGAGAAAAAGAAAAAAGTTGATTTTATTGATAGAATGGTTTGTGACAAGTACCCATATTAAGAGGAGACTTCTTCTTGCTGAAAAGCCCATGAGAGTATTTCAGGCATGGAAAGCCAAGACACTCTGGGGGAAAAATAAACAAACAAACAAACAAAAAACCTAAATGAAAGATCTCCACGAGTGAGATCCCAGTGGAAAGAATGGGTCATCAAAGAAGGAGGTACCTTTCTCTGAAGGGAGGAGAGAACTTCCACTTTGACCATGGCCTTGTGTAAATATGATCAGAGTCAGTGAACTCAGGGGGCTTCCATAGCCTTGGCAACTCATGACAAGAGCCTAGGGTGATTACTGATGCCATAAACAAGAGTGTCAATTTGTTAAGTCAACAACAGGAGTCACTGTGCACTTACTCTTCATGTAGGATCTCTGTCCTTAGTGTGCTGTACATTGAGATTTAATGCTATAACTAGTACTCAAACAGTATTTTTCACTTTATGTTTCTGTGTGGGAGCAAACTGTTGAAATGTTTACTTAATGTATGCTAAACTGATCTTCTGTATATAAAGAGAATCGAAAATGAATCTTGATGTGAATGGAAGGAGAGAGGGAGTGGGAAAGGGGAGGGTTGCGGGTGGGAGGGACGTTTGGGGGGGGTAGCCATTATAATCCATAAGCTGTACTTTGGAAATTTATATTCATTAAATAAAAGTTTTTTTTTTTTTTTTTTTTAAAGAGGAGACTTCTTGGTGCCAGGCATCTACAAACCTGTCCCTTCGTAGAAGTTTTACTTTACACAAATGACTAGACTTTTGGGATGTGTGTGTCACTTTATAGAGAAATAGCTTGAGGTTGTAGGCTGCCCTACCAGGTGATCCAAAGATCCTTGTATAAACCTAGTTCAATTCATTTCTGAATATACTTGCTGTC